CAGGATTTTGAAATAGTGTAAAGAAGAAGAAAAAAACAACCCTATCAGCCTGACACAACATTTGGGTGATTTTGATAGGTGTGTAAGGCTGATAGGATATTCTGGTCTCACATACCTGGCTTTTTCTATACCTTCTTATTGATAATCATTTAACTAAATCATGTGGTTTTCTGTCCACGGGCCATTAATCATGGTATCATAAACACAGTTAAGTCTATTTTTCATCTCTTCTTTACACTTAGCAGATTTGTGAAAAGAAAACAAATGCAAATCTTCAAGAACATTTAAACAACACAATGAAAGTAACACAGAACACTTTAGTACTTGGTAAACACTAGATATGACCTAAATTTCTCTACATGTGTCCCTGACTCGCTGTTCCAGATAACCCAAGATCTGACCCTTTCACACTCCTACCTGTTCTCCAGATATATGTGGGAAACTCTTTCCTGCCAAGTATTTAGTAGGCTGTGAACTCACAGCTTGATAGTCACAGCCTGTCGTTGAGAAGCTCAGTGAAGGTGGTCAACATATTAACAGATAAAGGAGGTTTAGCGTGATTCAGTTCTGCAGGAGGCACCACTGGGAGCCCACGAAAAATACACCTAGCCCCACCCAGCCTCAGAGTCATGTTATATAAAAGTTGAGGTATCTTGGATTAGGCAATGGTTTCCTTATATATGACACAGAAAGCTCAATAAACAAAATAGTAGATTAAACTTCAATTACAAGAAAAAAATAGATTGAACTTCACCCAGTTAAAAACTTTTGTGTTTTGGGACCAGCAGATGGCGTCATGGTTACGTTGCTGGACTCCCACCGTAGTCAATTGCAGTGCGAGTCCCAGACCAGCAGCTTAAAACTCACACCGGGTGTTTTAAGAAGTTTAAGAATAAGAAATAATTCTCAGCTAGATGCATGCACATATGACAGGCACCTATTATTTGATTGCTGAATTAAAATCAAATGTAATCATTACTTTGAGATTATGCAAATATAGTATCTATAATAGCCCTTTAAAATTTAGTTTAGCACACTTAACTGTTTAAGTATATTTAATGTCCTTAAATTATCTAATATAATTTACTTTTAAATTTAGGAGGATTTTGGTAAAAATTTAATTATGAGTCTATAAATATTATGGAAAAACCATCAATAGTACAGTAAAACACACCAATAAAATTATATTATCTGAATATCTATTCTCAGCTAACCAAGTGTAGAAAGATGTGGGAAGGTACCAACAGTTAGTGTAATGACTATGTCGCTGAACTCCCATGTAGTCGACTGCTGTTCGAGTCCCGGACTTGGTGGCTTAAACTCACGCTGGGCACATGTGTGTATGTGCCCAAAATCCTGAGAGGAGAATGGAGGAGAAGGGATTGCGGCGTGGCCATCCCCCCTTGGGGGTGATTTCTCGCTTTCTATCTCTCTGTCTCTCTCCATCTTTCTGGCACGAGCACACACCCTATAGCAAAAATCTCTCAAAAAAAGAAAAAGAAAAGAAAGAAAGATGTGGGAAGAAACAAACAAAATGGCGTAAAATACTAAACTCTATGTATGTGTTTCTGTATATGTGTGTGTGTATAGATACACACATATACATGAAATTGTGTATACCACATGAACTTGAACCTACTTATTTTCTAAATTACTAGTGTTATTTTCTGTCTGCTTGTGTTTTATCATCATATTCTCACAGATCCTAAACCCTGGGGTTGCCTATATAGAGCCAAGTTTCTCTCCTTTTTTATGGGTCAGCATCTTGGTTGGTTTGTTGTGTGTTTTCAAGTGCATCAGTCTCTCTCATGGGCTGCAGGCAATGCATGGTTCTGAGGTGGGACTTGGTGGCTTAAACTCACGCTGGGCACATGTGTGTATGTGCCCAAAATCCTGAGAGGAGAATGGAGGAGAAGGGATTGCGGCGTGGCCATCCCCCCTTGGGGGTGATTTCTCGCTTTCTATCTCTCTGTCTCTCTCCATCTTTCTGGCACGAGCACACACCCTATAGCAAAAATCTCTCAAAAAAAGAAAAAGAAAAGAAAGAAAGATGTGGGAAGAAACAAACAAAATGGCGTAAAATACTAAACTCTATGTATGTGTTTCTGTATATGTGTGTGTGTATAGATACACACATATACATGAAATTGTGTATACCACATGAACTTGAACCTACTTATTTTCTAAATTACTAGTGTTATTTTCTGTCTGCTTGTGTTTTATCATCATATTCTCACAGATCCTAAACCCTGGGGTTGCCTATATAGAGCCAAGTTTCTCTCCTTTTTTATGGGTCAGCATCTTGGTTGGTTTGTTGTGTGTTTTCAAGTGCATCAGTCTCTCTCATGGGCTGCAGGCAATGCATGGTTCTGAGGTGGACAGGAACAGAATAACATCAACAATGTGTGAGGTCTCAGCCCTATTTTACAGGAGACTGAATTAGCAAAATTGTAGAAAGCCTAACTGACCATGCACAGAGACCTGATCTTCATTCTACTCTAGTGTTTTTGATTGTTTATTCTTTCATTATACTGGGTTATTGGAAAAGTCATGATGCATTTTTGGAAAAAAAAAAAATGTCATGACTTTTCGTACGACCCAGTAAATCACTCATTTACTTTCTTTTTGTCCTCAAAAACATTTAAAATTCTGGAATTTACCATGAAAAGTAATAACTCCTTTATTTCGTACTGCATTGTGGAATGTATTAGTATAGCTTCCACTTTTGTACAGTTGGGTCAGTAGATAACTATTAACCTTAGCACTACAAAACGAGGAAGAACAAAAGTATATAACTTTACAGAACTATATATATTCTCTGAACTGTATTTATCCTCTTGATATTATGATAGATTATACCCATTGATCCTTGGTGTTTATTCTGGTCACTGCTGGACATCTCTTTGCACAGAGGTGAAATTGTACAGTTCATTCCCTTAGCTTTGCCACGTGCCTCTAGCTTTCAGCTCAGAAATATCCTTGCCTTCCCAGAAGACCTGTGGAAGTCCTCTCAACCTCTCCAATACACATGCAAAATGGGAAGCTCCAGGGACTTAAAGTCCCTGAGGCAGCCCTTGGCCACTTGGGAAGCAGAAGCCATTAAACAAATATTGCCCTTTTCCTTGTCCCAAGTATATAATTCTGAGAAACATTCTACATGTATCCCCAGAGGGATTAAAGTTGTGCCCACAGCAGTAGCCAACTCAATAAAGTTCTGTTGAATTGACTTTTCATCCTGCATTATTCTCTCTAGTCTCCAAGTTCTGTTCTTTAATGTTATTCCTCAGAATTGATCATAGGCATAGAAAGCCCTGGCCCTACTTTCTGTGAACCTTAAAAAAAAAAACCTTTTTTTAAAATTGGTGATCAAATTCATGTGTATATCATGTGTGTGTGTATATATATAAATATAAATATATATATACACACACACATACATATACATACGTATATATACATATATATATAGATTTTTTTTTTTTTTAATTTTCCAGAAGGCACATGTTCTTGCCAAAGAGAGAGATGAGAAAGCATCCCCCATGTGGGATGGTCGCACTGTGATTCCCTCTCCATTTTACCTTTCAGGATTTGGGGCATGCACACACACATGCCAGGCAGGTGTTTCAAGTCAGCAGGTCGAAGACTCAAACTGTGCGAGCAGCCATGTGAGGTCCAGTCTCTAACCATCGTGTTACTGCTGGCCTGGTTATATTTCATGTGCATTGCCTTCTTTGGAGCTCAAACCAAGTAGTTAAGTTATAACTTGTAGATTCAGGGTTCAGAGTCAGATGGTCAGCCTCCAGAGCCCACGGATTTGATCACCACACTATACCAAACAGGGTCTGGTATGACTCAGACAATAAGATTCTAGAAAAGAGATTTCATTTTAGGATGAAATAATCCGAGAAATAAGTAACTCTGATGGTCTTGAAGAACAGATAGGATTTAGGAAGGAGATGTTGAAGGTCCCTAGTGCAGGTATAATGTTGGGTTGTTGGAAACGTCATGACGTGTTTTTCTGTTTTTCTGTGCAAAAATAGCCCATGACTTTTCCAACAAGCCAGGACATTACCTTTGTAGGGTGATCTTAGTTTAAATAATAACTATCAAGTTTCTGTCATAGATAAAGTTGGTTCCTTTCAGATATACGACTGTGATGGCTTAGAATTACCTAAAAAGGGGGACCAGCAGTTAGCATAATGGCTATGTTGCTGGACTCCCATGTCGTCGACCACAGTTCAAGTCCTGGACCCGGCGGCTTAAAATCACACCGGGCACATGTGCATGCATGCCCAAGATCCCAAGAGGAGAATGGAGGAGAAGGGATTGCAGTGTGGCCACCCCCCCTGGGGGGTGATTTCTCACTTTCTATCTCTCTGTCTCTCTTTGTCTGTCTGGCAAGCGCACACGCCCTATAGCAAAAACCTCTTAATAAAAAGAAAAAAAAAGAAAGAAAAAAACTAAAAAGGAAGCTTAGTATTCAGATTGTGCTAGGTTAAAAAGGAGGAATAGCTAGGTTCCAGAAAGGGTGGATTAAAAGGAGAGGTCAATTAGAAGGTAGAAACAGAACCTTGTGGCTTGAGTCTCAGAGGAGAAAAGGAACACCCATGAGAACGATCATGTCAAACGTGCATGGGCAGAAGCCTCAGCTCACCTGAGTCTACCGAGAACAGCAGGCCTCGTGTGTATGTTGGACTGACTGACAATCAGACAGCGATGCTTTTATTCACAGGCTGGAAATGATCCTCTGAACCAGATAATCTATTGATCTTTAAGATGAAATAACATTTGCATTTCAGGGTTTATGGAGTATAAAATTTGATATTTGTTTAGTTGAGCGAGAGAGAGCTTTGTGTAAGAAAATATTCAGCAACTCTAACTTCAAATATATTTGAAAGTGATGTATCAGTGGTGCAAGATAAGTCTCTGGGTGGTTAACACTCATTTTAGAACATCCTTAGTGTCTTCATACACATGATTTATCATTTTTCCACTCCTAGTCAGGTAAAGAAGTACGAAGGACCCAACCAGAAGATGATTCCCAAAGTTATTCAAGAGTCAAGTTCGATAATTCTGTACGAAAAATCAAGTCGAAACCCCAGGTGAGAAATCCCGTTTTCTTAAAAATATTCATTATGGGAGAAAAAGAGTGTCCTAACTCCAGGAAAACTAAAACCAAAGCCAAAAAAAAAAGAAGTCTTTTTTTAAAAAGGTTAGTAAATCTTGTATTTCTCACAATTAAACAAAACTAACTCAACATTGGCTTTTTGACATTTTGATATTTTCTAAAGCTCTCACTGCTGTAAATATTATTTTATGTGCTTATTGGAGTGTAAGTAATTGCTAATTTTTTAAAAAGTAATTAATTTGAGTTACTTATTAAAGACCTCCAACTGCCTGTTGCACTCATTAAAGTTTATTACTAGTAATCTTTGACCTTCAACAAAAATAATATGCTTAGCGGGCCTCAAATGTACCTGATATGATTAATTTCCTGCCAGCTGTTGGTTACTTGTGCCGAGTCCATCTCAGCTTGTTTTCTGAAATTGCTCCTTTCCTGGCTTTGCCTTAGACTCCACCTGGTTTCCCTTCTGCAGAAGAGGCCTATAACTTCTTTACTTTCAACTTTGATCCTGAACCAGAAGAATTGGAAGAAAAACCAAAAGCAAAAAATAGAGAAAGAAGTAATCAAGAGGAGGAAGGAGAAGAAGAGGAACCTCCTATACAAGAAGGGGTAAGCAAAAAATATTTAATGCAGTGATGATAATGTGGAGAGAGAGGATGATGACAAAGGGAAATGCGCTGGTGATGCTCTAGCAAGGATAAAGGAGACTGAGGATAACCTGCCTCCTCACATAGAAACAGCCATGTCTTGGGACCAGCAGCTGGCGTAATGGCTATGTCGCTGGACTCCCATGTAGTTAACCATGGTTTGAGTCCTGGACCTGGTGGCTTAACTCACGCCAGGCATGTGTACATGTGTGCCCAAGATCCCGAGAGGAGAATGGAGGAAAAGGGATTGCGGCGTGGCCATCCCTCCTGAGGAGGGATTTCTTGCTTTCTATCTCTGTCTCTCTCTGTCTTTCTGGCGCGTGTATGTGCCCTATAGCAAAAACCCCACACACACAAAAAAAAAAAAAAAAAAAAAAAAAAAAAACAAGCAAATAAACAAAACAGCCATGGCCCACTTGAAAGTACTGGGTTTGCAGGAAAGTCATGACACACGTTTGCATAGAAAAACAGAAAACTACGTCGTGACTTTCCCGAAGACCTAATAGCGGCAGTGCTAGACTCACGTGGCTTTCTGTAGCTCTTAATTACACTCTACAATTTAGTTAGGGCCTGGTTAAATCTGTCTACCTTCCTTTTGTGGAAATAAAAGTAGAATAACATGGCTTACAGGTTCTTCTTGCTACACCCCACACAATGACTAGTATTTCTTTCACATGAATGTTTTTCTCTTCAAGGCAAATGAAAACTAGTCCTCTCTCTGCCCACAACCTTATAATTGGGCAGCTTTTTGTGCCCAACAACACACCCAGGCTACAATGCAGAACTCCTAATTGTGAATGATATGTGTGGGGTAAAATGAAAACACACCATTAAAAATTCACAAATATCTTAAATACTTACTGTTCCAAAGAAGATATACTAATGGCCAATAAGCACAGGAAAAGATGCTTAACATCAGTAGTCATTAGGAAAACGCAAATGAAACCCACACAGAATACCACTTTATACCCTTGAGAGTGGGTACTATCGAAACGAACTGAGTGCTGACGAGGGCGTGGGAGACTGGCCTCTGCGCACTGCTGGTGATCGTGTACAGGGGTGCTGATGCCATGACACACGGTATGGCTGTTCTTCAAAATCTAAAGTAGTCACCATATAATCCAGCAATTCTGTTCTGGGTACATACCCAAAAGAACTGAAAACAGGGACTGGAACAGAAATTTGTACACCAATGTTTATAGCAGCATCATTCATAATAGCCGAAAGCTAGAAGTAACCTGTGTGAATCAGTAAATGGGTGAACGAAATACAGCATGTACCTTTCTAATGACCCGATATGTACCTGCAATGTCATTCAGTCATGCAAAGGATGGAAATTCTGACACGTGCCCTGTGTTATGGATGTACCTTGAAGACATTATGCCAGTCGCAGTAAGAAAAGGCTCAGTATCATGTGGTTGCAGTTATCTGAGCACCTAGGGCAGTTAAACAATATGGTAAAACATGGACCAGTAGGTTACATGGAGGGAGAAGAATGGTGGTCTCCAGGGTCTGTGCGGGAAGGATGAGGAGTTACAGGCACAGAGCTTCAGTCTGGGAAGATGAAAGCGTGTGGAGACGGGCTGTGGTGACAGCAGTGCTGCAGTGCAAAGGTGCCGAGTGCCACCACTGCACCTGAAATGGTTAAAGTCCGTCTTACGCTACGTGTGCTTTCTCTCTCACTCTTTCTCTTTCTTTCTTTCTTTTTTTTTTTTTTTTTTTTTTTTTTTTTTTTTTTTTGTTTTTTTTTTTTTTTTTTTTTTTTTTTTTTTTTTTTTTTGCCATAGGCTGTGTGCTTGCACTCAACAGAGAGATACAGAGAGAATGAGGGAAAAGTGAGAAATCATCCCCCGCCCCCCGGGAGATGGCTACACCACAGTCCCTTCTCTTCTAGTCTCCTCAGGATTTTGGGCATACATGCACATGCACCCGATGTGATCCTCAAGCCACTGGATTTGGGACTCCAACCATGCAGTCAGTCATGTGGGATTCAGCACCTAAACCTCCATGCAACCCACTGGCCCATGTTTTATCTTATTGTTTAAAAGGGAAAAACAAAACAAAACAAAAGACAAACACCAAAATACTCTAGAATTTGCAGCACTTAACTTTATCCTCACAAAGTCCTAAGAGGTGAGCTCCATTAATATTCCCATCTTGCAGAAAGTAGCAGTTAGCATAATGGCTATGTCGCTGGACTCCCACGTGGTCGACCACGGTTCGTGTCCCGGACCCGGTGGCTTAAAACTCACGCCAGGCACGTGTGTGTGCGTGCCCAAGATCCTGAGAGGAGAATGGAGGAGAAGGGATTGTGGTGTGACCAGCCCCCCTTGGGGGTGATTTCTCGCTCTCTGTCTCTATGTCTCTCTCTGTCTGTCTGGAGAGCACACCTATAGCAAAAAAAAAAAAAAACTCTCCAAAAAAAAAATTCCCATCTTGCAGCTGAGAAAACTGAGGATCAGAGGGTTAAGTAAGGTCCCACAAGTGTCCCAAGCTGTGCGAGTTGAAGCTGAGATGCAAACCCAGACAGACTGCGAAGTGTGTGGACTCTGCAGCTCTGTACTGGGTGTCTTTGCCCTTAGGTAGGTGCCAGGAAGAAAGTTAAAATGTTCCATAACTTAGGAATCCAAGTTCTTTATAGGTATCAATAGTGAGCACTCTCAAAGCAAGCCAGCTTTATTGGGAGTTCAATACTTTACTTGACACTTCTCTTTTGATTTAGCACTTTCTGATTTTGACATCTTCAGGTGTGTGGAATAGAAAAAAGAAAACCCGGGACCAGCAATTAGCGTAATGGCTATGTCACTGGACTTGCATGTAGTCGACCGCGGTTCACCTTATGGACCCGGTGGCTTAAGCTCACGCCGGGCGTGTGTGCATGCGTGCCCAAGATCCCGAGAGGAGAATGGAGAAGGGATTGCGGTGTGGCCATTCTCCCTGGGGGGTGATTTCTCACTTTCTGTCTCTCTGTCTGTCTGGTGAGTGCACGCGTCCTATAGCAAAAACCTCTCCAAAAAAAGAAAAAAGAAAACTCACTTGTTAAAAAGTAAAGGTCATACAGTTCTGTGCTTTTATTTTAAAAAAATAAAAGGAGGGACCAGATGGTGGTGCAGTGGGAGGACGCGATGCCGGGTGCGCACGGGAAGGGTACAGCAGCTGTGTGGAGACCCGCGAGTACATGGGCACATGCTTGCTGACAATCCAGGGTGCGCTGAAGGCTGGGGTGGATCATGGCATCAGGATTCCATCAGGGACACTGTGTCTGGCTCTCTTCTGTGTGTGTGTGTGTGTGTCTGTGTGTGTGTGTGTGTGTGTGTGTGTGTGTGTGTGAGTGTGTTTCTCTCTCACTCATGGAAGAAATAAAAAAACTTTAAAAAATAAAATAAAAAGAGCCAGCAGGTGGCAAGGAGATTAAGGTGGCTGGATCCCACACAGCCACTGTGCAGCTCAAGTCCCAGATCTGGCAGCTTGAAGAACACGCTGGGTGTGTGTGCATGCATGCCCAAGATCTCAAGAGGAAAATGGAGGAAAAGGGATTGTGGCATGGCCATCCAAGCTGGGGAGTGGTTTCTTACTTTCTCTTTCTGCCTCACTCTCTGTCTCTGTCTTGGGCAAGCACATGTGCCTGCCTCATAGCAAACTAAATAATAATGATAATAATAAAAGAAAAATGTTACTGTTGTAATATATGGTTTATGAATTTAGCATCATTAATTACTTTCTAAGTAAATGGAGAATTTAGCATGATATGTTCTCGTTATTGTTTAACATTATGCAGGATGAAGAAGAGCTGCTCAGTGGTAAAGATGCTGAGGACTTCCTATTAGGCTTAGACCAGACAACTGATGATTTTCTGGAAGTCAGACCTGCAGATTATGAAAGTGTGCATGTCCGGCTGCAGATGGAAGAAGAAGCCCTCTTCATCCCCAGTAGACTGACAGGTACTTATTTTCCCTCCCTAGTTGGCAGCTCCATTTCCTCCCCTTGAAACATAGTTGGTAGGTAAGGATGCCCCATTGCCAGAACTGACTCCAGTTTCGAGTCAGACTTCATAATCAAGAAATACAAGGGTACTTCAAAACTTCTGTGGGAAGTAGAGTTATAGGACAAATTTAGTTTGGCACAAGGAAAACCGTGAAATCCATGCATAGTTTTTTCATAATATACAGTTTTCATGAACTTTTTGAACCCCCTCCTCCATATCATAAAATTAGAGTGTGGAAAAGTATTTATTCAACAAACACTTATTGATAGAATGGCCGGGGAAACAGGTGCTGTGGGAGCACCTTCATCAAGTTGGTCACCAGCTCTGGGTCTGAGAGTATTTGAGACCCGTAATTCAGGCACGGTGAGGTGTCCCACCTCGGGGAGATGGCTAGATTCCCGGAGCTGGGGCCATTTGATTACTTGCTTCATTTCTGGACTGGATTTCCCTTTGCTCTTTTTTTCTCCCCTGGAGTTTCTTTTGCTCCTGAGAGTGCCTGAGGGAATCTCATGCATACCCAGTTCTAGTTAGTTGGGAAAACGGTGGACCGGCCTGAGCGTTGTGGTAGACCCCTGCCTTGGGCTGTCTTCGGGGCTATTAGAGGTAGCTGGCAAAATTGCCCAAAGATTTCACCTTTACCCCCAAAATGGTAATAGCTAGTGCACTTTGTGTACAGTTGGCCCTTGTATTCATGGATTCCACTTCCAGGAATTCACCCACTGCAGATAGAAACGTAGTCCATGAACTACCTGCTCAGGCTGACAGCGGTTGCATCTGAACCGAACATACACAGGTTTCTTCCCCTGCAATACAATATAGCGTCTAGTTACAGAAACTTATGTTGTGTTAGCCTTTAAAGTAAACCAGAGATGATCTTAAGTGTGCTGAAGGAAGTGGATAGGTTTTAGGAAACACTGTAACGTTTATACAAGGGCGTGAGCTTCCACAGATGTCCTTATCCTCAGGGGTCATGGAACCACCGTGGATGCTAAGGGATGACTGTACTCACCCGCCCCTCGGCTAGGCCGATCCTGCACCAGAGCTTCAGGAGGTGTACGTTAGTGAGGACGGAGCAGTCTCTGGTCTAGGTGGCCTGCCCGGAGGTTATGTACCCTGCCAGGGTGCATTGTGACGTTTCTTGGGGATCTGGAGAAAGGCATCTGCAGCAGCCTCTACCGGGAGGAGCTTCCCTGCCCGTGCTTTTGCTCAGAGAAGTCGCTGCTGAGCCTCTCCCGGGAGCTCATGGTTGGGAGGAAGCTTAGACTGTAAGCAGCCTTCCTGGGGCCTGGGTCAGACAGGGCCAGAGACGAGCTGGCAGGGGCCATGGGAGAAGTTCACAGAGACCTGGTTATAGCCGAGGCCTAATTCTAGCCAGGAATCTAAGCATGGACCTGTCTCCCACCCTGCTCTGATATAGCAGGAGGGCCAAGTGAGGAAGTGACACGATGGCCAACCAGACAGAGGAGCCAGCCAGACCTCATCCTCCTTTATGAGTACAGCCCGGAGCGAGCTCCTCAGGTTCCTCAGCTAAAGGCAGGATGAGGAAAGCTCCTACAACACAACTCTGGCGTTTACTTTGATTGTGAGCACTGAGGACGTAATCTGAGCACCGGGCCTGGCATTGTGACCAACACACAGCAGGTCATCAGAAAACGATAGCTTCTGTTACGTTTACTGTTGTTTTTGCTGCTTAAAGTAGCTCGTGGTCTCCAATGTGCTCACCCAGGAGTGGAGGAAGAAAACATTAAGACTTCTGTTTACTTTACTCTGTTTCTTCATTTAATTCTATATTCTCAGTAGAACACATGGAATAAATACACTTACTTGTGGCACATAAGTGCTCAAAAACGTTTAATGAAAACCCTGAAGGCCAGGTCGGTGAGTGGGCGTCGAGTGTGAGCGAGCAGGGAAGGACAGCAAATGAGCAGTCTAGCGTGCCCACGGCCTGTGGGGCCTGTGGGGACTCCGAGGACGGGAGGCGGTCCAGGGCACTGGCGCGACTGCATTTTCATGGATGTGTAGCAGATGTAGCCCACGTGGCCACTCCCAGGAAAGTTAGCGTGGCCAGGACGTGGTCAGATTAGAGTGGGACAGTTGTGAAGGAAAGACGAGCCCCGGCCGGCACAGCCGTCAGCCCTCAGCCCGACTCGTAAGGCCTCCTGTGCGTCTTTGCAGTGGGCGGCTGCAGGCCTGGTGGTCTCCCTGGAGCCGTAGATCTGCTCTGCCCACTCCCCAGCACCGGGCACCTGAGGAGCTCTGGCACACTAGGGCTCCAGCTCCTGGCTGTGACCTGTGCTCCTCCCTCCCCCTGCTGTGCGCTCTCCCCTGCTCACCGCACCTCAGGTTCTGGAACTTCCCGTGCCTCCCCGTGCAGCCGTCCCTAGCACGCGGTGTCCCCGGCTCCCGCACTGTCTTCTCCCAGCTGCCTCTTCCTTCTCGATCTTCAGACATCCATTGCCAATACATCGCCTTCTGAGAAAAGCCTCTCTCATCTTCCTCCCCTCCGCTCCCTAAGTACCATGGCCTGTGTGTTTTCCTCACACTTCCTACTCTTGGAAATGGCCTCGTGTAGACCTTTATTCATTGTTGCTGCCTTTTGCAAGATTTGTTCTATGAGTGAACAAAAAAGTAAAAGAATAAATGAGGGTGATGGTCATATTTACTCAAATAATTTTTTATTTTAGAGAGAGAGGTTTTTGCTATAGGGCATGTGCCCTCGCAGAAGAGACAGAGAAAGCAGAAAGCAAGAAATCAACCCCAAAGGGTGGGTGTCCACGCTCAGTCCCTTCTCCTCTATTGTCTTGGGATTTGGGGCACCCACGCACATGCACACATGCCTGGCGTGAGTTTTAAGCCGCCGGGTCTGGGACTCAAACCACAGTCAACTATGTGGGAGTCCAGCGACATAACCATTATGCGGTCTGCTGGTCCCTCAAATAAACTTTTTAATTTACAAGACATTTCCTCATCTCTTAACCTCATTTAATTCTCTCAGGAACCCAGTAGATATTACTATCTCTATATATTTTCATTTTATTTTATTCTTATTTTTTACATTGAATCACTGTCTATCTTTACAACATGAAAATAAATTTTCCCAGCATAAAAACACTGTATGTTAGTCCAGTCAAGGAAATGATCTCTTTTTTACAGGGAAAAATAAAAGGGAGAAAGAGTTAAAAATATTCCTGGCCTGAATTTAATCAGCTAAGAGGCAGTAGAGCTAAAATGTCTATCTGGACCCTTAATTTGATTATGGCACTGTCCTCAGTACGCCACACTGGTGAGTTCCGTACTAACCCTTAACCAGATGGTTCTGCAACATGATGTTGCCGATAAATGCATTCGTCTTTCCCTCAGTTTCACTCATAGAAATTACTTTGAAAAACGTGCAATTTCTAAAAACATAAATGAAATCTCTGACGATTGTTTCAGTGCACCGTATTGTAGGTTGAAATGTCTAGCTGGGCACTAATACTGATTTTACTTATTTATGATCTAGTGCCTACCTATAGAAAGCTTCCTGAGAATGTGCAGCCCAGATTCCTGGAGGACGAAGGCCTCTACATTGGGGCAAGACCCGAGGTGACGTGCACCAACCAGAACATCATGGAGAACAGACTGCTGGCCCAGGACCCGGTACGTGGCACGTGCCCCACATGAAGGGGTTGGCCCTGGCAGAGCCACTCACATTGCCTCTCGAGGGCATCTCTGGAAAGTATTCTTTTTTTTTTTTCTCTTCAAATAGACTTTTTTTATTTTTTAATGTCTTATTTAAATTTCTTTGTTTACATTCATTCACTGTACATCATTACAACATACAAAATGAGATTTTCCATCCAGAGTACACTGTATATTGTCTCAATCAAGCACATCAACATACATGTCATTGTCAACAAATAATTTTCCATTTCTAGTTTCCTGTATGTTCTGCTTTTTTCCCCCATCCTTGATTCCCTATCTCTTACCCTCAACCATCTCCCACTCTCTTCCCACACTATCTCTGGTATCTATGTTTACTTTCTATACTGTTTTCCCCCCATTTTTTATTGAATTACTAAAGATCTTAATTAATCTAAATATTTTTATAGCAAACACAGCTGATATATACATTTCCATGAACACAAGTCTAACTTTAGGCATCCTGTAAAGTAGCACCTAGCTGGGGCTATGTATCTTACTGCAGTCATCGAATGGATTTTTCATTTTTCTGAAACTTTTCTTTCTTTTTGTAACTTGATTTACATTCTTTGCCTAAGCTTCATCACAGCATACAAAATGTGATTTCCCATCCAGAATATACTGCAGTGACTTAATCATGCATATTATTATCCAAAATTTTCCATTTATAGTTCCTAGAATTTTTTACCCCTCTTTCTGACCCTCTGTCCTTTCCCACCCTCTGCTCCCACTGTCTCTGGTGTCTACAACTGTCTTCTATTCCTTTCCCACCCACATTGTATTGATCACACAATTTCTTAAATAATCAAACTACTTTCAATAGTAAGTTCATATGGTACTATTAAGAAAACCAGTTTTAACTTAAATCATAGAAATGCTAAGGAACTTTTCTTAAAGCCAGGAAACAGGTTAGGATTCTGTTCAAATGGTAGGT